CCAATTAATACTTTGAATCTTCCCAATTAGCTTCAAACTCTTGATTCATACCCTTCCAGGCTCGGATCAGGCCGACTTTAGTGTCGTTGGGTTTGTCTCTTTGAGATGTTCATTTTGACTATATGTTTGCTAATATTGGAGTTTAGATGGTCTCAAATTTAATTTTGAAAGTTTTTAGCTTATATATGCCTCTAGATTTGTGTTGGATCGTCGATTTTTGGCGATGATATATCATTAAAATTTTTTTGATCGGGCACGAATCTCTAAGTCAAAATTAAGTTGGATACTTCCAAAATTAAATTTGGGACAATCCAAACTCCAATTTCAGCAAACTTATAGTCGAACTGAACGTCTCAGAAATATGAATCCAACGACACTAAATTTGACGCAGTTCGAGCCCAAAATGGGTCCAAATTGAAGACCCGAAACACATTTGAAATCTTAAAATCATGAATTAGATGACCAAACGATTTCCAAACATGACATGCTTATAATCAAATAGAGCAGCTCAACAAGACGAATCCAACGATCTCAAGCTCGCTGAATCATGATATCATTAAGACATTTAAAAGCCTAGTAAATAGTCCACGATCAAGGGAATCTACATTAGCCATCCATTCAAACCACTCACAAATTACCCTTGATCTCTCTTCTATTTAGTGGTCATGGCACTCTCAGAAATTAAACTATAAATAGACCAATCATTCCTTATGGAAGAGAACCCGAGCAAGGAAGAGAAGGAATGGAGCTGTCTTACCACCAGACTCTTCCTCGACCACCGTCCTACTTCCACCAGGCTGCTGACTGACACCGGGCTTTTGCTCGACCACCGACTGCCGCCGGAGTTCCGCTGGACTGCAGATCGATGCCGTATTTTTGCCCGACCACTAGTGAATGTCAAATTTCTGCCCGGACACGGACTGACGCCAGACTTTCGTCCAACATTCATTCGTAGCAAGATTTCAACCTAACGGTTGACTATTATAATCCGAGCATCCTCAGTTTCAAGGATGAATGGTCACTTGTAATCTATTAAAACACTAGTTGAATCATTTCAACTGGGCGTGACCCCACAATTTTTCTCTTTTTGGATTTTCTACGTTAAAATTCTTGTGTTTCTTTTTTTTTTCTCTTTGTGTACTAGATATCCGTACAATATAAAAACAAGAAAATCTAGCTCTATTGCCACATATATTCTAGCTTGCAACAGGTTAAATATCAATTATACATCAAGATTTATGTTGATGATATTAGTTTTCCTATAATGTATCAAAATTAGAGAGGGAGAGAGCTAAACTCGTAGACTGGTTAGAAGACTGAAGTTCATTAAAAAACTACATCGAATTTTTATTTGGATTAAGTTTGAGCTAACAAGTAAAATCTAATTTGGATCAAACTTAAATTAAGCCATAGTGCCAGACTAGATATTGAATATAAATTTTCTATATTCAACTAAAATAAAAAAAAAACCAACAATTACTAAAAATCGAACTAATTTCTTGCTCCAAAAAAAAATTTGATCAAATTGAAGAGGTATGCTTGCTGGCCCTAATTTATTTCTTTTTTTATAGCTATTATTTTTTAAGATATTTATTTTTCTAGTAGTAATTGCATAAATTTCCATTTTTAATGATTTTGAGATTTTATAATCAGTTTAATATTACAATTTTGTAATTGTTGATTAATAATAGACTATCTTTCTCAAAAATTTATTTATGATGCAACCAATTTTTATTTAATTTTATTTCGACTCTAATCTTTGAGGGAAGTGTTGAACCAGATGATATAGATTATTAAGTTTGTCAATTTCGGGTTGAACCCGGAAATGACCCAACATTATTCGGGTCAATCTGAACCCAACCCTTTTTTACAAACGGGTCGGTTTTTGGACCAAAACTGACCCGCTTGCGGTCCGAGTCAATCCGACACGATCTGAATGATCCGAGACTGACAAAAATTGCTAGTTTTTTGGATCAAAAAATGGGTCAATCTCTGATTTTCATGTCAAAACGGGTCATAATAGGACTTTTTCGGATTGTTGGGTCAAAATGGGTCAATTTTGAGTTACTAGGTAAACCCAAACCCAATCCAATTTTTGAAACGGGTCGATTTGTTGAACCTAAACCTGACCCATTTCGGGTTCGGGTTGATCCTAACCAAAAATTTTAGGTTGAATTCGAGTCGAATTTTCGGGTCAAATTCGAGTTGAATTTTCGAGTCTTGTCAAATATTATTAGACTCGAAACATATCCCTTTAAAGCCCAGGGACATCAGCAACTTAGCAGCTCATCTTGATTAGGGCTGTCAAAACTAAGTTATGAGTCGGGTTCGGGTCTGACCCAAAACTGACCCAAGTACATACGGGTCAACCCAAATCCAACTCGTTTATTGAAACGGGTCATTACATTGTACCCGAACCCAACCCGCATCGGGTCCGGGTCAACCCGACCCGACCCGTATGACCCAAAAAAAATTAAAATAAGTTTTTTTTTTAATAAAAAATAAAATATACACAATTTAATTAATTTATAAACAATTTATAATTATAGCAGGTAGAGTGGTAGTTCAATCAACATATTAAACAATGAACAACAAGTACATTTACATTTTACATATAATTTGGTCATTTGCAAAATTACAATATTTAGAAACTAATTGTTCATTTCTTCTTGAAAGTTGAAATGCTCCTGTAGGCTCTAGTTGTTTAGCATCTGTCTTCAAGCACGACATAAAATCAACTGTAATAAAACAAGTTAGATATTTATAAACCTTCAATATGATGCTCAGATTAAACCTTCCAAATATGTAATCACCTAATGAGGTGTAAGTTCAATCAACATTAGCAATTTAGCATATTACCATCCAAGGAGACAAATTGTACTTTGTATTAACTACTACGTTAGTATCTATTCATTTATATATGTATTAACTACTAAGTTAGTATCTATTCATTTGTATATGTAGTATCTGCTCATTTTACTAGAATACAAAATTACAAACGTCTCATGGTTGTAATAGCATATTAGTATTTATTCTAAAACTATTCCAACAATAATTTGAGAAGGTCGATCATCATCGCTTCATCACTTCAGACTACAACAATTATTCAAATAATATATGACTTTCCTCAAAAGTGAAAATAGGTTAAACAACAAACATATATAATATATGACTTTCCTCAAAACAGCACATATACGACTATATCAAATGAATCAAACGAAGCACACTAGTACAAACATCAAACGAATTAGAAGAAGCACGAGAAACCCGAAGGCCGAAACCAAATAATGAAACAACCAAATAAGTCTTTCCTCAAAAGTCAAAACAACACAGATGAAATGAATCATAGCACATTGGAAGGGCAAATCATGCATAATTATACAAGCAATAAATAAATCATGAAATTCTGCATTGTCAAACTTATGATCAGTCATAGAAATAGATGTATTAGAACCGGTTTGCAATATGAGCTGGCATATATCATGTATGTCTCTTTTCTTGTAATTTTGCAAGTATCTCCTTAAGTTGTCGGTTCCATTTTTACTATCACATAAGTATTTAGCACCACATCTTTTACATTTGCACATTTGTTTACCATCAGTAGGATTAGCTAACATCTCAAAATGACCCCAAACCTTGAAAGTCATTCTTCTATGCTTCTTAATTACGATTAAACAATCATCACATGCATCATCAGATGCTTCTACCACATTGTCTTCAACACAAACTTCCTTATTTTCTTGAATATAAATATTAAGAATTGTGTTTGAAACCTCCATCTATTGACATAAATGTATGAAATTATACAAATTAAAACTAAAAAAGTACCTAAAAATATATATATCCAAGCAACTAGTTTTTTTACAAGTGAAAAGAGAATCAAATATAGTTATATGCCAATTGCCAACAACATCTCAAAATATCCGGGCAAACTGCCAACACACTGAACAAACAATTACAAATAGCCGACTGCCAACAGAGAATTCCAACATCTCATAATAGGTATCAAAGATATTGCTATAACAGAGAATAACATAGAATCAAAAATAGCCACGCTAATTAGTAACAAATAGTCAAAAACTCGACAATTCAATTTTCAAAACCCTAAGGCTAAACAACATTTCAAAATACATCGGCAATTCAAAGCACAAATCTGATTATAACTTCATAATAAGATTATAATTGCATCAAAAAATCCCTAAAAAAACGAACATAAAAATATGCAAAATGTGATGCCCTAATCGACATTTCAAAGCCACAACAACTTCAAATTGGAAGGAAGAACCAAATAGCTCAAAATTAATACTCTAGCAGTGACTTAGTAACACAAAATTAAGAAAAAAAAAATGCAAGACTCATAAGTCATAAAGAAAACCGCAATAATGTTAACACCCGCAAGATTTAAGATAAGCTGAGTGATAAATAAAATTGATGAGGCGATGAGTCGAGGACGCAGAGGAGGAGAAAAGATGAAAATGGCTGGGAAGAAGGCAGGCTCTCCGCAAAATCGAGCAGGCGAGCAGCCCTAGCTTGGAGCCTTGGACTTTCCCTGCAAACAAGACGATCACTATTTCGACTTAGCGGAATGTCGAATACGGCAAAACACTAAACTTAAATGCCCTAAGGCTCTAATCGTAAATTCGTAACTACGATTTACATAAATATTAAATAGTGCGGGCTGGTTTCGATATCAGGTCGAACGGGTCAATTTTGGGTTCCCGAGTTGACTCGAACCCGACCCGAAACTTTATACGAGTTAAAAATCTGAACCCGATCCCAACCCTTTTTGGGTTCGGATTGACCCTAATCCAAAACTTTCAGATCAAATTCAAGTCAAATTTTTAGACCATGTCAAATATTAACAGCCCTAATTTATTTGTCGGGAGCTCAGAGTCTCATATATGTATAATTCTGTATGATGTGTGTTATAAATAAAAAATAAAATAAAATAACCTCAGCAACTCAGCTCACCTATCCCAAGGAAAGGAGAGCGCCAGGATTTGAAAGTCCCGGCTTTAAATCGCGTCGGTTACCTTTACCACTCCCTCATTACTCTCCCTCTCTAAAGAAGAAGGGAAGCAGAGCAAGGTTCGCAGAGGAGAGAGAAATAGTGTGTGCGGGTGTAGTGGAGGAGAGTGAGGAAATAAATTCAGAGCAGACCCGGAAATTAATCGGTGCTTAATAAGGGGGGATGTTGAGTGAAATTGTTCCGGATTACCGCCGTTCTCTGCAACGGGGCCGCAGCGCTTTCTATTTCTGCGAGGATAGTGGAGGAAGGCGAAGAGAAAACGAGGCTGTGAAATTGGAGGCGAAGGGTAAGAGGTTCCAAACGCTATTCTTCTCTGAACGCAAAGCTCTTTACTGCATTGGCTCTACTAGGATTCAGTGGAGCAGTGCCGGAAGAGAATAACGGCATTGCTCTGCTCATCGGTGAAAGAAAAGAGTAATTTTGGAAGGGACGATGGATTCCGGCGAGGACCAGGATATGTCAGAGTCGAAGGGTAAGAAGAAGAGATACCACCGGCATACCCCTCGCCAGATTCAGGAGCTCGAATCGTATGCCGTCTCATATTTCTCTCTCTTTTTTTTTTTTTTTTGAGATTATGTTGCTTGAATCGACCGTAAAATTAATTTTTTTTTTCTTTTGTTTGTGGGTTCGCAGAATTTTTAAGTTGTATCCGCATCCAGACGAGAAACAGAGGATGCAGCTAAGCCGGGATTTGGGTTTGGAGCCACGACAGGTCAAATTTTGGTTCCAGAATCGCAGAACTCAGATGAAGGCAGGCCCTTTTTTTTTTGTGATCTTCTTGTTCTTTTTTTGCTTGAAAGATTGATTTTTTGAGGTGGAGAGAAGTAAAAGGAGTCGCCTTTGGCTGCTGCAGGCTCAGCATGAGAGGTCTGATAATTGTGTTCTACGTTCAGAGAACGAAAGGATCAGGTTCGAGAACATTACTATGATTGAGGCACTAAAAAACATAGTCTGCCAAACATGTGGCAGCTCACAAACTTCTGAGGATTCTTACTTTGATGAGCAGAAGCTACGCATGGAGAATGCCAGGTTGAAAGAGGAGGTGATCTTATATCCTCTTTTTAAAAAAAAGTTAGAATTAAATGACTGTAATTAATTACCAATATCGAATCATCAACTCATCTTACCAGTATCTTTTTTCTTTCAATGGATATTAATTTTCTACTAAAGTTTGCTCATGTTCTTGGTTGTTATGGTTCTCTTAAGGCGGATATTTGTTGCTATTCATGATTAGAGTTAGTTGATCATTAGCAAGTATTATGTATTGATGATTGGTTGCAGCCTCTGAAGGTGAAAGTTAGTGCTCGTGGTTCGATTGCTCATAAGTTTCATTAAATGCTTTTCGATTTAGCTTTTCCACTGCACAATTGAATTGTAATAAAGTAAAAGTGTCAGAAATTTTCATAAGTCTCACTGCATTATTTCCTCTGATTAATTTGGTTTGCCCAACTGCAGATAGATGAGTCGTTGAAGCTTAATCTACAGTAATAATTAGTATTTGATTCCTTTAGTGATGATAACTATAGTATGTTTGAATTGGAATTCATCAGGGACTGTTCTTATAATTCTAGTGTATATTCATCTTCCTGGGCAATTTGTTGTTCCTTAGCAGTCTTGATAACTCCCAGATATTTCTTAATCTCAAACCTTTTATACAGAAGTTAGACATGACTTATCTTTTTTTGTTGGACAAGCTATGATTTTTCTTTAAAATTAGATTTCATTCTTTTATTGCACCATTTTTTTTCTATATTTCAGCTTGATCGGGTCTCGTCAATTACATCAAGGCATCTGGGAAGACCTCTGATGCAGCTTCCACCAATCCAACCGTTACCAGCTTCTTCACTTGATCTTACAGTTGGTGGTTATGAGAATACTGAGTTCAATCCTTCCCTTGACCTTGATCTACTTGGTATTGGCCCTCCATCCATGCCATTCCCATTTCCAACCATTTCTGAGATTGAGAGGCCCGTCATGGTGGATCTCGCTGCCCGATCGATGCAAGAGCTAATCAGGCTTGCTCAAAATGATGAGCCTATTTGGAGTAGAAATGGGAGTGATGGTAGGGAATTTATCAATCTTGAAGCCTATGAAAGGTTGTTTCCAAGGCCTGGGCAACAGTTCAGGAGTGCCAATACTCATATCGAGGCTTCAAGAGACTCTGGAGATGTGATCATGAATTCCTTTGCATTGGTTGACATGTTTATGGACCCCGTGAGATTTTTTATACTTCATTTTGGATTGATTTTCAATTGATTCTATATATATATAGTCTTATTTGTGTGGTAAAAAAGCAAAGGAAAGTGTTGTAACTTTCTACTTGGTTTAACTACCATGGTTATGCACTTGCATTGCAAGTTGCTCATCTTTATGAGAATAATGATGTCTTTATTTCCTAAACATGGCCTTTCTCTATTAATTCACCTGCACATAAACTTGTATTTTTATAGGGCAAATGGATGGAGCTATTTCCTACAATTGTGTCAAATGCAAGGACTATTGAAGTTCTAATGTCTGGAATGGATGGAAGTAGGAGTGGAGCCTTAGTTTTGGTGAGAAAAAAAAAATGCCAAAATTGCCATGAAGTTTCCTTTATTTGTTTTCCCATAGGTTCTATTTGGCACATCTAATTCAAGAGGTTGCAGATGTATGGTGAATTCCTGGGGCTATCGCCGGTGGTTCCCTCCCGCGAGTTTTACTTCCTCCGCTACTGTCAGCAGATTGAGCAGGGATTATGGGTCATTTCAGATATATCCATTCACTCTCCAAAAGTCAACATAATTCCTTGCATAAAGCGGCTACCTTCTGGTTGTTTGATTCAAGATATGACAAATGGTTATTCTAAGGTAATTCTTCATATCATGAATGTGAATGTTTATTTGTTTTTTTTTTTTTTTTATCTGATTCTACTTCCTATCATGAATAAAGATTGTATGGGTTGAACACATGGAGATCGAAGAAAAGAATCCAGTCCACCAGCTTTACCGTGATTTAGTTGATAGTGGGATGGCTTTTGGAGCACAGAGATGGGTTGCCACCCTACAAAGAATGTGTAGGAGGATTGCTTCCCTAATGGTGACTGGTAATTCCCCGAGAGATCTTGGAGGAGGTATACACCATACTTTCTTGAAATTATTCAATTGATGATATACTTAGAAAGGTTTCTACTTGTGTTTAATGTTATATCAACCAAATTTTGAATGATTCTAGTGTACCATTTTACTCTCTAACGTTTAAAATCATTCCACTAGTTCAATTGTCATTGTTTGATTTAATATTAAATGAATAAATAAACTCTCGAGTTAGGTTGGCGAGGACTTGGGGACCCGATTAGTATTTACCCATTCCATTTTGCATTTTGGTAGAGCTTGGCCTCCCAACTTAAGTTTCCTCCTCTGCCTGCTCATTAATAGGAGAAATATTAGGTGCGGAATCCGGATGTAGAGATACGCCCAAACACATCCACTTAAAATTTGACATGTGGAGTGCACTTTGGTTGCACTTTTTGTGCACTTTACTTGTGCTTTACCTGCACTTTAGTTGCGTTTTAACTACTCTTTTGTTGCACTTTTTTACTACGTTTTGACTGCGCTTTACCTGCCCTTTTGGTGTGCTTGACTTAAAGTTCTGTTGACACATTAAATATATATAGTAAAAAATAAATCCAATTGAATATCCATGTATTTACTCCACATGTCAACATTTTGTTGGAGTCCGGACGTATCTCCACTTCTGGACTCCGCACCTAATAATTTCTCTAGTAATAGCCCTTTGATCTTTTGAGGAATTATGGGGTGGTTTTCAATGTTTTCTGCAACTCAGCACAACCTAATCAAGTTGACATCTTTGTAAAAGTTAATAAACAAAGTTGTTATGCCTATAACTGAAAATTTCATGGTATACCAATGCATCCTTCATTTATTAGGAGTGATATAACCCTAAAGCTCCTTAATTATATCATTAGGTTAGCAAGTTAATCTCCTAAAGCTATATTTATTCTTGGCATGACCCTCAGTTATTCCCAATGATGATGGAAAGAGGAGCATGATGAGGCTTTCACAGAGGATGGTGAGCAACTTCTGCTCTACTCTAGGTTCATCCAATGGCTACAGATGGATTGCACCAGCTGGAGTGAATGATTCTGGAGTCAGGGTTACAGTTCACAAGTGCTCAGACTCTGGCCAAGCTAATGGAGTCTTCCAACCTAATGGAGTCTTCCTTAGTGCCGCAACTTCCATATGGCTACCATACTCCCCTGAATCTGTCTTCAGCTTTTTCAGAGATGAAAGGTCTCGGGTTCAGGTTTCCTACCGTTACCTTCATTCTTAATTTTTCATAACTAACCTTGAGTTGTCGTTATATTTGTTCGGTTCAATATAATCTCATTTCACCATTGTTTCTCTCTTTATTGTGTTCTTCTTTTCTCTTATGCACTTAAGGCTTCGTTTGTTTACATGTAATCTTCTGTAATTGGTTTAGCCTTAAGTGTATAAGACAAAAGGAGTTTTTTGGTATGAGGATTTAGGTCGGATTTGAGGTGGATTTGAGTGAAATCCAGCCAAACGGCCTAAAATGCAAAACTAAATCTAGACGGAAAATCTCGGATTTTTGAAATCTTGTTTTTTGCCGGATTTACGAAATCCATTGGCTCGAGAGGAAGAATCCGCTCGTTAAATCCGCTCTATAGACAAACAATTACACATGATTTAATAGGATTTATCATGAATGTTACCAAACAGTTTTCAAGATTTAGGCCCCTCGGGATTTCCGAATTCTGGGTTTAGAGGATTTACAAAATCCTACTTAAATCAAATCTTGGGTGCTACCAAACAACCTCTTATTGAAGTGAACTTCGATGATTTATGATTGTTTCAGCTTTAGTAAGTTTCATTTTTTACACATTCCCGTAATCCAAAAACTTATGGAACAACATTTTAATTGAAGTGGGATGTTCTATCACATGGAAAAGCTGTTCAAGAGGTCACTCGCATTTCAAATGATCAACACCCCGGAAACTGTATCTCTCTCCTTCGGGTAATCTCTTCTAAAACATCATCTCCATCCATTCCTTCTTCTCACGTTCATCTTAGCTCTGCAACTAACTATCATTTAATCACTTTACCTCCTCTTCAAAAAATCAAACAGGCAACTATGAATCCTGCCAATCTGAATGACAGAAACATGCTTATACTCCAAGAGAGCTGCACTGACTCTTCAGGTTCACTCGTAGTGTATGCATCTGTAGATCTGCCATCTATGAACATTGCAATGAGTGGAGAAGACTCATCATTTATCCCTCTTCTGCCGTCGGGATTTGTGATCTTGCCTGACGGCAGGCCGGGTACCGGCACCGGCATTAATGCAGCTTCAAGCTCCAATCCACTGGGAGGATCATCAGGTACAGTGCTCACCATTGCCTTTCAGATCATGGTGAGCAGCTTACCTTCAGCAAAGCTAAGCCTTGAGTCAGTCACAACGGTTAACAATGTCATTGGCGCAACTGTTCAGCAAATAAAGTCTGCTCTGCGTTCCCTTGAAGCTTGACAGAAATGAATCTAAAGATATCAGTGAGCCATTCATGTTTAGACATAGTAAAATGATTTCTGTAGCAGGTAAAAATGTACAATGTATCCCCTTACTGATAGGCAGTAGCACTTAGTTTTCTTTAGTCCTTTCATTTAAATTCCTTGGAAGTTTCAAAAATCACTCCCTGATCTGAGCTCTAGAAATATTGTAGTTTCTATATTTTTTTCAGAATTAATCAAAAGAAAGGTTCTTTACTAACATATCTGAGTTTTTTTTGTTCTTTTTATTGCTACAAGTCTGGGGTCAAGCATTTGCAGCCTTTGTAATGGCCTTCGCCTTACCATACAGAAGATCTCCCTTTTTTTAGGCGAAATAGTCTCTTTTAATTTAGTAATGTTAGCTCCAGAATATAATGAATACATTTCTAAGTACTATGTAATTATAATTACGTTGCTTCTACTAATTAACATGAAACTAAAGTGATTTATGCGGTGCATTGGTATAACAAATGACTGAGAGGCTGTTTGGTTGCGTGCATTTAGAGTGTAAAGTAATTCCAATGCAACCGTTTTAGAAAATTTGATGTTTGGTTTGAAGTAAAGTAAAATGTAAGTGTAAAAGGAGTGTATTCCAAATATGTTTTTTAGTGTATTTGAAATTCCTTTGATTTGGGAGGGTTTTAAATACATTGCAAAAGCACCACCAACAACCGTTACGCACCACTGTTGGCTTTTCCACTACAGCTATTGCCATTGACTGCCACCGCTGGCCTCATGCCGCCAGTTGCCGCCCCTGCTAGTGGTCACCACCTCTGTCAACCACCTCCCACTGTCGTTAGCCCTGCCGCCGGCCATCACCCTTGTCAGCAACCACCGCCAGCCGCACACCACAGCTATCGACCACCGTCGATCGTCAGACAACCCGATCATAATATTCTTGTAGTTTACATTTCATTCACTTTACTTCATATCAAACAAAAAAAAGTGAAGTCATACATTTACTTTACATTCATCCAAGCAACTATATAGAATTCCTTTTTCAGGCAACCAAATAGCCCGTTGAAAGGAAATAAAGCTAATATTTATTTGCATAATTTCTCTATATACAAACAATATAATGGTTCTTATGTGGAGAGGCTCTCTCTTTATATGGTTTTTGTATGAACGGATTTATAATTTGTTTTGATTTGGCTTTATATCACAAAGAATGAATTTGAGTTAATAAATCAAGTCAAAATTAGAAATTTGAGTCTTAGGATTTGCTTGAGATGGCTGTAGTTTTTTATAAAGTTGTTGAGAAAATTAATTTTTTATAAGTTGTTATAGAAAGTAATTTTGTAATACAACAATTTGTTGAAAGGATTTTTATAATATAATAATTTATTAAAAATGGTGATCAAACAAAAATTATAATTATGATCTGAAAAATAAAATAGTAAGAAAGTTGTCTCAAACGAAGCCTTAAACTTAGTTTGACGTAGTTCAAACCTTTCAAATTTTATATTTTAAAATTCTTTTTTTAGCTAATGTTTTAAAAATATATTTTTAAAAAAATAAAAATAAAATTTTGAAATAGTAATGATAAAAATTCTATTTTAAATACATATTATTTTTTATTGATTATTTTTTTATCACAAAAACAGTCAAAATTGTTCCAAACAAAGATTGTAAGTACTTCCCAGGAGAGTTTTTTTTTTTTTTTTTTTTTTTTTTTTGGGACATTTAGGCCAATTAAGGCAAACTCACACACACAACGCATACACATAGACTCGAACCTTGGACCTCTTGGTTGAAAGCCTAAGCTCTCAACACAACTTTTGGAGAAATTATTTGGTACGCAATCCAAACGTAGAATAAGGTTCAGATGCTGCGTATTTCATGCTTATTTTACTGTGTATTTTTTATACATAATTTTTTCTACGTATTTTTTGCATACTTATTGTGTATTTAGTGAGTATTATTTATTTGCTGTTTATTTGTCATGAAAAAATTATGTATTAAAAAATACGCAGTGAAATAAGTAACAAATACGCAGCATCCGAATATTACTCTGCATTCGGATTGCGCACACAATAATTTCTCCAACTTTTGATCATTATTTTTTTTACTATTTAAAAAATGATGCTAAAAATTTATTTTAGAAAACAACAAAACAATTATTTGAACGAAGAAAATTTTTGTAACTTTTGATAAGACGCTTCTAAAAGATTCATTTAGCTAAACTATTCTTAGGCTTGATTACTCCTTATAATTCAACTTAGTCAATTTTTTTTAGAAACTTTTGAGAGAATTAAGGTTTTGTTTGGGACAGCTTTAATATTGCTTTATACAACTAATATTTTGTAAGAAAAAAATTATATTAAAAAGTTACTTTAAAAAGTAGTATGAAAGTTGTCATATACTAAGGTTTCATTTGGGACGGCTTTCTTACTGCTTCTTAAAATAATTTTTCAGCACAAAAAATTATTCTTATTATTAGAAAGTGATTTAAGAAGCAGTAAGAAAATTGTCCCAAATCTTGGGCTTCTAATCATCTCGGCCTTTGGCAATTTATAGCGGCGTCATGGATTTAATTATTGGGCTTGGCCCATGAGTTTCCTCTGCGCTTAAGAAGCCCAAAGATCTGTTAGCGCCTCATTTTTGGAGGGAAAACTAGAAATCTAGAAAAAGACAGAAAAAAATAAAAAAATAAAAAGACGGGGAGCGGTGTGGGCGAGGCTTCATTTTACTCTTACCACATTTTTCGCCGGCGATTCGAAGGCCATAGAGGAAGAAGATGCCGCCGAAGCACGATAGCGCTGAAGGCATTTCCTTCCTACTGATATCATCCTCTCCATTTCTTTAAGCTTCTCTACAAATCGTAAACTAACTAACTATTCACTTATCTTTCTCTTTTTATTTTCTTTTTTGAAATGTTCCAGGCATTGTTCTCGGCTTCGTGAACGAGGTATTTTCCGCCATTCAGATGTTTCGAATTTTTTTTCAGGCAAATCTTTTGATTGTTGTTATCCTTGGAATCAAGGTTTTGTTAAGTGGAGCTGTGGATGCAAGTTTGAATGGATGGTTTTTGTTTTTCCTGTATTGTTTTACTGAGCGTGTGTTATCGGAGTGATTAAGTACGCAGGATCTTTCGAATTTGCTCTTATTCATCTGAGATAGGGCTTTCATTGCGTCGACTATGTGTTGAAGAATATAATTTGTGTTTGGGATAGCTGCTAAAGCAGTTAACCGAGGGTATATTAAACAGTGAAATATGTAAGAACCATTTTGTCAAATTATTTTGTGGTTTTTGATATGTCACGTAGGGATTGTTTGCTTGTAGATGAAAAAAAAGAAAATTTAAAAATGGGAATTTTGTTTTCAATTTGTTTGAGTTTGAAATTGAGATCCTCACTTTGATGGGATTTGAGGTGGTTTGTGTAGTTTGAAATTATGTCACTGCTAACTAGATCCAACCATTGTAGATTCATTTAACAAATTTAATGATTTTTCAAATTGCTTACATTGCAATACTTATTAAGTTCATCATTCGTTTTAGTTGAATTCTAAGTTACCTTTCTACTTTGAGTGCCCTTTAAAATTGCCTACTTTCAGAAATGTTCTGAAGTCTAAGCTTGTTCATTCACTCACTTGATGACCGTTGCTTGGAACTTTTATGACCTTTCATTGTTCAAGATCTTGTGCTTTCTTCTACTTAATGATTAAGTTTAATTTAACTTTAGATTTAGGTTGAGCTTAAACTTTTTTCGTTGACAGCACCACATTTCGAACTTTGGACCTGTTGGGTAGAATGACACTGCCAATTGACTACACTACCATGGGCTTAATTGATTCATGTTTACTTTAAATTGATTTTATGCTATTTTTATATTTTATAACAAAATGTATGAATACTAAGCAACTTGTTTAATTGGCTTTCTTGGCGCTATGAGCATTAAATATTTTTCTTTTAATTTTAAGTTTTAATTAATTTATTGTATACATTGAGCCTATTTCTAAATATTATGATAAGATTCTGATCATTGATCTTTGATATAAAGAATATTTGGTTTGCTAAAAAAGGAATGCAAAATATTCCAAAGACAAGAGATTTGAAATTTTTTATGATTGTTGTGATGAAAAAGGAATGTAGAGTAAAGTTTTGGTGAAGTCCTTTTTACACTATGTAGCTCATTTTTGTTGCATTCTAAACTGGCTCATTTTTGTTCACCCTTGCCAATCTCCACCTGCCATCTCGTAACCTTCTATCACTGCCATTGGCAGTCGCTCATACTCGTCATTGGCCATTAGTCATTGCCTTACTATCTGTCACCTGCTGGTCACTGCCTGGCGCCTTGCCCATTGCTTTCCACCACCTCCGTTGCCCAGTGCTCTCTACTTCTTAGGCTTTGATGAGTTTTTAGTTTTATTTTCTATCTTATTCGTCCACTTTTCTAACACAATTTCTTCTTGTCTATATATCATCAATGATACCTTCTTTCATTCCCAAAATACATCCAACATCTTGAAAACTCTTTCAAACATTTCTCCACATCTATCATAACCTTTCAATTCTCAAAATACCCAATAACTCTAAGATATCATAGCAAAAAACTCTTGGATTAAAAATATATATACATACTTCTCTGCCGTGAGCCACAGGATTAAAAATAACACAACTCAACGGTTGATTCAAAATTTATATAAAAAGCAACATTAGTTTCCTAATATTTCAAATTTTTTTATATGAAGTTGCCACCTATTTTCATCTAAGAAAATTTTTCTTTTGATAGCCAAAATGTTTTAGTATCAAATTTATTCAAATCTTAAATATTATGGATCAATTTTGACCGTGTATGATTGACATTGCTCCTTTATCACTTGAATTGATTGTGCACAAACGAAGATTAGGTGGGCAGTGGCTACTTCATGCCTATTGCTTTGGTTGATCGATCAATCCCCTAGCACTCTCTATCTATGAGCACTCAATTCATGGCCTTAGGTCACTTTAAGTATGAGCTATTTTTGGTGTTAGACTGCTTTTAAGAAGATGAACGTTTTAAAAGAAAAATAACAACCTATTTTTACTATTTTTTGTCGACTTTTACGTGATATTAACATCTTTCCAAAGCAGCAAACTTTCAGTCTTTAGACAGTTGGTGTTTTGCATTCAAATTAATCATTGTTAAGCTATTTTACAGTGCTGCTTTGCTTAGATTTATCATTTATGTTGCAATCGAATTAACTCCAGTGGGATAGTTTTGATTTATTTGCATGATACTAATATTTGAAATTAACATCTCCCACAAGCATATTCTAAGCTTAATGCAAGGAAGTTATGTATGATATCCTTCACCTTCTTATGCCCCCCTTTACAACAACAACAACTACAACAACTAGCCCTCATCTTGCTATGTGCGGTTGACTACATGAACCCTTTTTCTCTATTGTATCCTATAAAATTTAAATTCTCATTTAATGTACTAAAGAAGTCATTTTTAATACAATCTAACCAAGTCTTTTTAGGTCACCTCTATGTTTCTTTCCATAAGCCGAATCTAATACCTCTTCTCTCTTAACATTGTCATGGAAAGGATGGAGTTTTATATGATCAAACCATCTCAATTGTATCTTTCATTATTTGTTGAAGAGATAATGACAAATTAGCCCTAATATTTGGTTCCTACGTTTTTCTTCTTATGTATTTACATTTTTTACTTCCAAGATGCATGAATTTTTCCTTCAAACTCTTATTAGTTATGATATCTACCCAATTTTTGGTATGACTCATACCTGAATATCATAGTTTAAATCATAAACTATCAATCTTTTCGGTCTTTTCTCCAAATAATTTAGTGTCCTGAATACATAGAATATTTATTTTCTTATGAATTATAATATCTATTAATTCAATTAATTTGCCTGTAAAGGTATCTATATTTAAGCTCTTATTCTAATTTTAGTTTCATGAATTGGCTTTGCCCATGATGTGAGAATCCTTATTTAATACTGCGTCCAGGTACCAGTGTACTGGATCTTGCACATTTTTTGTTATATTCAATCCATACAACGCGTCATTTCTGATGAACGGTTTAGTATTAACGCAATGTATTAAATGATTCATATTATGATTGTTTACAAGTTTTATGCTGGTTGTCAACTATCTAATGAAACTGTAGACCTTACAACAATAGTGTTTTATGTGACCCTTCACAAATTTTATAAAATAAATATATGGGATCTTTCATCTAGTCAAATACAACCCTAATGTTTTTTCTGGCATTTCTCCAATGCAAGATGAAGTTTGAGTGGCATTGATATAAAGTTTTCTTAGCTCCTTTTTCCCTGTTCGATGCTTGTAATATTAATATTTTTTCTGGATTTTATACAAAGAATTGCAAAGTTTTATCACAATTTTTTTAGCCTGCTATCCTTTTGCTATGTAGTGTTGCTTAAATGCTCTCATCTCAACAATATTTGTTGTCTAAAATTTCTTGTGATTGAAAAAAATGGTTATTCTTTTAATTTTCCTAATAAATTTGGATAAAGATTTCAATCTATACTTTTTGAACTAAATCTTTTTCAATTTTTTTAGCCAGGAATTTTTTCTTGAGTTGTCTAATTTTGTTACGTTTCATGGAATGTTTTTTATTTGTTATCATTTGTTTTGCTCATCAGTATTTTGATAAATTAAGCACTGTTGTAAATTAAGATTTTCACTACATGCTTTGGAGTAACACAATACTTCTATTGTTAGCAAAATAGACCACTGAATTCCCAAAATGTTGCTGATGCTCTGCAAAAGTATAACCTCAAAAAGTCTGCAATCCAAAAAGCTTTGGATACACTTGCTGACAGTGGGCAGATTTCATTTAAAGAGTATGGCAAGCAGAAGATTTACCTTGCTCGGCAAGATCAGTTCAAGATACCCAGTAATCCGGAGCTCGACCAGATGAAGAAGGAAAATTGCCAATTACAAGAGCAGATTGATGTCCAAAAGAAGGCTAGAACTGAGATTGAGGCTGGTAAGCTACAATGATAACAATTTCACTCTTTAAAGTTCCAGTTACAGTTTTAAATGTGTTTTCTTGAATCAGAAATTCGATCTCTGCAATCAAATTTGACACTGGAGGAAATACGGTCAAAACAGTCAATGCTGCAAACAGAGGCAAATTTTTCTTACCAATTCTTCTAATATTCAGTCTTCAAAAGAGTCTGAACTCTGAAACATATTTACTTCAGGTTAATGAAATGGAAGCAAAGCTGAAGAAATTGCGGGATGGAGTAATTTTAGTGAAACCAGAAGAGAAAAAAGTTATTGAACAAACATTCAGTGAAAAGATGAACCATTGGAGGAAGCGGAAGAGGATTTTTAAAGATTTGTGGGATGCCATAACAGAGAATTCACCAAAGGATGCCAAAGAATTCAAGGTTTTTTACCTGTGGAATCAACCTTTTCTATTTCTTTAGATTTTACTAACAGCACCATTACTTATCACAGGAGGAGCTCGGCCTTGAATATGATGAAGATGTTGGAGTTAGCCTGCAATCCTATAGTGAACTGATGAATGCCAATAAGAAAAGAAGAACTGCACAATGAGTTATCCTGCAATCCTTTTAAATTTAGATTTGTAAAGGTATTTTAAAGCCAATCTCTTCCAATGCATGTATTTTCCCAAACAGTAATTGATCAAAGTTTCACACTTATGTGGACCTGTTGCCGTTAATGCTTACTGCTATAGTATTTCCATGTTTTTTCTTAAAAGACCCAACTTATAGGCATAGATAAAGTTTTCTTTTGCCTTTGTTTTGCTAGGTTGCTCCGTATCTTCTTCTGCCGACTTATAGGTAGGGGTGTCAACTTTTGACCCGACCCGAAAACCCGATCCGGACCCGACCCGGAAAATCCGGGTTGAACCCGACCCGTTTGATAAACGGGTTGGGTTCGGGTTCGTAGATTTGACCCGTTTGATTAAACGGGTCGGGTCGTTGCTCCGTATCTTCTTCTGCAGTGTTTCGTTTTCGATCTCATGGTGTTGGAGTCCTTACCCATAGAGGAAAGGTGAGTCGCTAAGTTTTTCTGAGGAGACGAGCAAACATTTGGAAATTCCAATTTCCATCTCATAATTGCTTGAAATGCTGTCTGCATCTTCTCCATCTTTAGATGGTCTTTTCTCTTCTGGTAAGGTTAGGCTAAGAGGCTTCAATATTACGGTCTGCATGAAACTGGATTGCCTGGACCTCATAAGCTTTCATTTCTCTGTAACTCCACAATCTGCTCGCTGTCTCATTTTGTCTCTCAAAGAAAATTTCTTCTTCCACTGGTTAGGGATGCAAATGAGGCGAGCTAGCTCGTAGGCTTGCGAGCTAGCTCGAGCTCATTAATAGCTCAACTCATTAATGAGCTTACGAGTCGAGCTTATCGAGTTTCGAGCTCGAGCAGAATTTCAAGCTTGTTGGATCATCGAGCTTGAGTTCGATTGAGATGATGCTTAGCTCAATTACTTGTCGAGCAGCTTGAGTTCAGAAGATGAACTATTAGCTCTGACGTGGCAAGGTAGAGTTGTGGGGGCGGGCTAGGATGTGGAAGGCTGAATCGCAGAAGCGGTCCGCATACGTGAAATCGGTACACCTTGCGAATCACCATGCACTGCCACGAGTCGAGCTCAAAAAGCATATTGTAGTATAAATTTGGGAATAACTTTTGCATCAAAAACGAAAGAAACTTTTCACCAAAAACTTTTATCATAAAAAGACGAAGGAGAGGAGGAAGAAACTAAAAAATTTAGTTGACTAGAAGGAAATAACAAAGTAGCAACTGTTATGGCCGTTGATTTTCAAGAGATGCTCAACTCAGTGAAAGCAAGCGATACAAGCAAGCTGTCCATGTTCACCATCGCCAGCAAGAAAGTTTAAAGGATAGTAATCTTCTTATGGCTCATCTTCGAAAAGAGCATTTTTCACTGGCTACTTCAAATTACAGCTCCTTTCTTCTACAAAAATTCTCATTGCAGGAGCCTCCCCTCGGCTTCCAACTGGAAGAGCTCCATCGCAGCCTTGGCTGCTACTGCTGCATACGAGGCAGACTCGAATGCAGCCTGTGCAGCACTCACTACATCTTTGTACTCCTCTTCAACCCTCATCTTCCCCCTATAATTCCCATGGAAGGCAGAATCAAGCTGCGGTGTTGCCATCTCTTCTGCCTGGTTTTCGGTCCACAGGCTAGCAAACTGATCACCCACCTACATTTGCATTTGACAAAGTTTTTATGATTTATTCCATATCTGAGTTTAGAAATATTTGCATTGAAATTTAACTACTGAAACCTCTGAAAAGGGATTGGCAATGAGTTCCAGCTCGACTCCTTTCTCCCTTGCAATCTCTTTCATCACATCAACCCTGCTTTCCATGCTCGGCTTCCTTGCGGAGAACTTCTGCACCATCTGCAGGGAAGTTGACCAACAAACTAATCAATGCAAGTTTGTATCTGGGAATCGAAGCTTCATATTAGAAAGCTGTTTTTAGAAGCAGTAAGAATGCCGTCTCAAACTAAGGCTTCGTTTGGGATAGATTTTTTACTGTTTTTTAAGCAATTTTTCAGTAAAAATTTTTAATTTCTATATTAAAAAATTACTCTAAGAAGCATTAAGAAAGTCGTGCCACAACTTTCTAAAATTATAAACCAGAAAAGTGTCATGCATTAACATACAACTGATTGTGGAACATAATATGGAGGTTATGTTGCTTGTCTGGTAATTGTATTTTCAGATTTGTGAATTTAAAATATTTATATTAAAAATCGTAAAAAGATTTTAAATTAAACACAATGCGTTAATTTTTTATTTTTGTTAAATTTGTGAACATGAAAGCTATTTCTTGTATTCGTCATTATAACTAAAATTTATTTATGTACCTTAGCATCGACTCCACAGTTGTTACGCAGCTCCACGGCGGCGGCGGTGAACTCCTTGCCGAACCTCGACGAGATGATTTTACGAATCTCTTGTAGCTCCGGCAGCTCACCGCACCGTGAAGCGGCGAAGGATAGGCCTGCCGCCGCCTCCTTTAGCTCCTCCGGGCACTCCCTGCACTCCCCCAAACATTGCTTCTCATCACTGATAGTTCAGAGAGAGAGAGAGAGAGAGGAATTTGCGAACGTACATCTGCTGCTGTAGTATGAAGGCGCGGTCGTTGAGGAATTGGCAGTAACTCTCCACCAAAGCGAAGACATCGGCCATGTTCTGCTCCTTCATCAAAAGCTCCGCCTGCATTATATGTCCACAAAAACAGATAAAAAAAGAGCAGCGAGGGATCGAGTGTTTGTTAATTCGGCTTACGCGAATGAGAGCTCGGTCTTGTTGGCCATGGAGGAGGAGCTGCATTATGTCGGACCGGGCAATGCAGCAGCGGCCATTGCGCTGGTTGCGGAGAACTGAGAGGCGGCAGACTGTCAGATTGAGGAGACTCTTCAGCTTCCAGATTTGCCTCGTCGTCCTTCTCCCGTAAATAGCTTCGATTAGCCTCCTTACCATTCCCATTGCCATCTTAATCGAGTTAATCAACTATTAAATCGTTATCATGAGCTAAATTCAGTGAGTCGTGAAGAATTTGAATAAACTTATTCAGTAAAATCTTGAAAGTTAAAACTCACAGAAGGAGATAAAATCGCTTGAAGAAAAGATCTGCTCGTTATAAGCTTGGCAGTGTTTGAAATCGTGGAGGTTAGCACTGATTTGGAGCATTTAAAGCTGCTCAACAAGAATGGAGAAGGAAGCTTCATTTTTAAAGCTCTCCTCGTTTATTTGGAGCTTAATAAGAATTCTCTAAGTTGTGCATTAAGGTAACTAAAATCTGTAGTAATTATTTGTTAAATTTTATTATTTAATTTTGTTTATATATAGTCATTCAAGCAGCATTGAGTTTTCTGTTAAATTTATAAATAAAAGGTTAGAGAATGAATGATAAAATATGTTATATTGACATTAGTTAGTGCTTTCTTATCATGTGATTTTACGCAACTCAATTTGATATGTTGGTTTAGAGCTTTTGCTTCTAATCAAGAGGTTTTTGTTTCAATCTTTGATATATGATGTGTGCGTGAAATTGACTAAATTGACCTAAATGTCTCAAAAAATAATGTGATTATTACTTATATGTCACCAAAAATTAATTTTGATCGGACACAAATCTCGATGTAAATATGAGATTGAGGCTTCAAAATTTAAAATTGATATCATTTGATCTCCAATTTCAGCAAGCTTATAGTCAATTGAACATCTCAGGAGACGAACCCAAACACATCAATTTTGATGCAGTTTGAGTCAAATGAGTCCAAATCAAAGGTCCACAGTCTATTTGGAAGCTTTAGAGTATTAATTGAACTACCAAATGATACCTAAGTATAGCATGCTTATAGTTGAATTGAGCGGCTCGACATGATGAATCCAACGAGTCCAAGATCACTCAATTTTTACATCTTTAATACATCTAAATATTTGATGAACATTTTATGATCAAAGGGATCACTATGAGATGTGTGATGGAACACTCCCAACATGCCCTTGATCTTCTCCCTATTTACTAGTCATGTCACTCCCAAAAAACTATAAATAGCCACTCATTCTTCACATGAGGGGGAGAAAGAAAAAAAGAAAACTTGGGGAGCTCCCTTGCGATCGACTACCACTGAATCGATCCGACCATCACTGGACTTCCGCCCATTTGTCAGCTACTATCAGATCTCTTCCTGACTACCAACCATTGTTGGACCTCCATCTGTTCTTCGACTATTGTCGGAACTATTCCTAGATGCTATCGGCATTTGATCTCCTCCCAAATATCGTCGCCTATCAACTACGATCTCTGCGACCATCATCACCTGAGTATGGTCTCTCTTAGCACTTTTGTCCAACTACAGTCTCTCCAGCACTGTTGCCTGATTACGATCTTTTCGACATCTGCTGTCCGACAATTACAGTTCTGCGAACCACCATCGCTTAACTATAGTATTTCTATACTTAGCTGTCTGCTGACTACGGTCTTTTCGATTACCATCTCCAGACTACGGTCTCCACGACCTCCGTCGCAAGACTGTAGTTCTTCCGACCACCGTCACCAGATTATGATCCTTTCGACCTACATTTCTCGCCAACTATAGTCCTACAGACCAAACGATCATGCCAATATTGATTCTTCCAACTCCCACCATATAATGCCCTCTATATGTTGTATATTGGTTGCATCAAGCCAAGGCCTTCCCCCCAAGGAAGTGCCTCATTTCTAATCAACTGCAAACACTAGTGGATTTATTCTTTTTTTTTTTATTCATTCTTAGGGTTTCCATGTAAAAACTATAATGTCTCTTATGAGCATTTCACCCCTACTCATTTATTTATATGTGGGATGGACATCGTACAAAGTTAGGACACTAAACTTTATATATCTTTATAATCCCAAATTTTTCTGAACACAAAAATTACAGTACTTATTAGTAAAATTTTGAAGTTATTTACAAAATATATTTGATGAATTCAGCGATATTATTATTATTAGAGAACAATAAATATAGAGTTACAAAATTAGTATATTTGAAATTGAAATTTAATTACTAATAGCTACCAAAATTTTTTCTCTTTAAATTTGTTGGCACTTTCCATTTTATTGCCTTCTGGAATCTTTCGGAAAGGTAGCTCATCTTATTCGGTTGGTTAGAAGTTTTGGCTACTAATTAAGAGATCTTGAATTTAAAACTTACATATACGTATTAATTTGTATTAATAGACCCAAAAAAAAAAACCTTTTCAAAAGTCCCACCCCCATGAACCTAAAAGCATCGCGTGCCTTTTCATCGGGCAAAACAACTGTGAAATGTAACCCCCAAACAAGAGATTGCAGCGCTAAGTCAGTTCTATAAATTGAAATTTCCAAAAAGTAAACAATAGAGGCTTCATAATTTCTAAGCGGTTCAACCATTAATTATTTATGCTTCAGTTCTTAGCACCTCCAGCAACACATCGTCTAAATTTCTTCTTCTTCGGTGGTAATATCGTAATATCAAGTTTTGTGAGACAGGTAGAAATAAGTTGCATTCATTTTAGCTTAAAATGAATGGCATTTGTGACTGTTCTGATGCAATTTCTGATATCATCAACAATTTTTTTATTATAAACTTGTTGCGTCCAGGAGTATTCGCTGCGGTAGAGAAATATAAAATTTATCGTCTTAGCATTGTACGAAAATCCGGCACGCAATCAGATAAGAGAGAGGGTCTAGCATTTATGAGACACCAAGATTTTTACGTGGAAAACCCCTGAAAAGGGGAAAAAAAACTACGGGACCTAGCCCAGTTTGAATGAATCCACTAGTATTGCAGTCGATTACAAATGAGGCCCTTCCTTGGGAGAATCACTAATGACATGTTCGTTTGGTCGGGAGGACCGTAGTCGGCGGGCGACGGAGGTCGGAGGGCTTGTAGTCGGCTGTCGACGGAGGTCGAAAAGATTGTAGTCGACGGGCGACGTAAGTTAGGAGAACCTAAGTCGGTGGGTGACAGAGGTCGGAAAGACTGTAGTCGATGGGCGATATGAGTCAGGAGAACCGTAGTCGGCGGGCGACGGAGGTCGAAAGACTGTAGTCTGACGACGAATATCAGAAGGACAGCGTCAGGTAGAAGTCCAACAATGGAAAGAAATGCATCTTCGCATAGACGTCCAGCAAAGTCCGATAACCGGTAGAAGTCCGGCGTCGGGTAGAAACTTGGCGAAGAGTGAAGGTCCAAAGTCGATTAGAAGTCCGACGTCTGTTGGTGGCAGAGAAGAAATCCGGCTTCACTTGGGCAGAGTTTCGGCGTCATGAGGGATCTCTGCTGTAAATTGGGAAGAATTTTCGCATCCCATAGAAGTTAGGCAGAATTCTGGCATTCTCCCGAATATCCGGCAGAGTTCCGGCGTCTTCAGGCGGCGGGAAGAGCTCCGGCGGTGGTCGAGGAGGAGCTTCTTCCTTCTCCTCCTTCTCTTCTTCTTCTCTCTCTTCACTTGAGTCCCCTTTGTGTAGAATGAGAGCTCTATTTATAGTTTTTCTGGAGTGGCGTGGCTCGTAAATAGACGTGAGATCATGGGCGAATTGGGAGTGGTTTGAATGGACGGCCGATATCGAATCCTTTGATCATGTACCGTTCGTTGGACATTTGAAGGCCTTAATGATGTCGGAATTCGGCGATCTTGGGCTCGTTGAATTCGTCTCGTCGAGCCGCTCGATTCGAGTATAAGCTCATTAAAATCGGAGACCGTTTGGTAACTCAAATTACGGTTTGAACCTTCCAACAGCACTTCGGGTCCTTGATTCGGAACCATTCGGACTCGGATTGGGTCGAATTTGGTGTCGTTGGGTTCGTATTTCCGAGACGCTCAGTTTAACTATAGGCTCGCTGAAATCGGAGTTCTGGTGCTTCTGGATTTAATTTTTGAAGTTTCCAACTAGCTTTTTACCTCGAGATTCGTGCCCGATCAAGATAAATTTTTGAGAACATATCAAAACTAATTGCAAATTAGGTGGTTTTAAAACAATTAAGTCCAATTTTCTTCAAAGTTTTGCAAATTAAACTTTCTTTCAAAAGAAAACCTACCTTAACTCTGCGTGCGGCAAACCTGCTTGCTTGCTTCGCAACGGGTCTTTTCTAGAACGAACTTTTTGATTCTTTATTATGTATCTTCTTAATTAGTTTGCCCTTCTTTAGGCTTATCTCCTTAATCAGCAAGCAACCTAATTTCTCTCCTACTCTCCTTTTACTTTCAGTGTGTTCTATGTCACGGCTTTATTGTTTAACATGCTATAAGAAACATCAGTCTTCTGATGATCTAATTAGGAGAATAGATTTATTACATATGGTCCATGCTAAAATAGTTAAAGATAGATCGAAAAATACTTGGTTAGAAAATATTTAAAAAGTTTTGATTTATCGGTTGAGAGCGTTGGTAATCAACTAACAGATCTAGGATTCTGGTCTTGCTTATGTGATGTATGTGTGAATTTGACTTAACTGATCAAAATATCTAAAAAAAAAAAAAAAAAATTATAGATTTAAATAGGACACAATGGTGTAAAATGATTCATCTACCGGACACCATTTTTAACGAATAAGTAATAACCACTACTTAAATCTTGTGATTTTGATTGTAAATATAGGAGGAAGAAGCTAAAATTGTCATTTAATCCTTATTTGTTATTGTCTAAGGCTTCTTTTGGGATGGCTTTCTTCTTGTTTCTTAATTTTTGTACTAAAAAGCTGCTTTGTGAAGCAATAAAAAGCCGTCCCAAACGAAATGTAATTATATTGAAATCTAAGTTGTTAACATTTAGGTTCGTTTGGGACGACTTCATTGATCTGATAATAAAAAAGCAGTCTCAAACGAAACCTTAATTGCATTAAAAAAAACATAGAGTTTGTAACGCACAAACATTTCTGAAAGGGTGATCGAACATTTAGCTTCATTGATCTGGTTGTATGATGGACAACTGAGCTTTGACAAATAGT